GTGTCTCACAAGTGTGTGTGTGTGTGTGTGTGGTGAGTGTGTTTGGTAATGATGAATAGATGTGTTACTGGGGGAGAAAAAAATATTGACGGTGTTAAATTGCTTCGTATCAAGGTATTTAGCATGAAATACAAAGTAATATGTATGCTGAGTATATGCAAAGTAATATGTATTGCATCCTGAGATATCAACAAAAGTCATCATACAAAGTATATATTAATTTAACTAAAGTAACTTGTGCTATTTTCGTTCCCAACATTTTCATTCATTTTTGCAAAAAACAGCAGCAGACAAACAAGATAGAACCATATACAATACAAGACCACAACCGTACACACACACACACACACTATAACTATATATATATATATATGTGTGTGTGTATGTGAATTACTGAGTATATGTATTAAAAACACAAATTAAACATAGTATTTATTAATTTATATATCATAATTTATTGCAAGATTTATTATTTTGCTATCATAATTTATTACTACTTAATTAATTAATTACACAATTAATTACTTAATTAATTACACGATGAGGGACACTGTTGTTTATATAAGCTCATAGTTCTAAGAATTTATTTAAGGCAGTGACGAATAATCCATCCTTTACATATGGACATTTAACAGATAGCAAGGAACAGTATGAGAAAAAATCGGTGAGGTATAATATTATTTAAAGGCAAAAAATATTTAAGCGATCTAAAAAAAAAGAATCCAGAGGATCCGAGAGGAAATAGCGCGATGCCGTGAGTCCCCTATTTTCCCTCTCACGAGATTCCTCAAAGGAAGATAAGGGGGCTTTGTAAGTGACGACAGACGTGAACTGGAGGGCTGTGTGATCACCGAGGCAAGCGGCAGCACGATCGCTGCGCTCCGTAAAAAAGTGAAAAATTTTCCTTTCCTCTTGGTGATTATCAATTAAATTTCTTTGAAAAATGTTTATTTTTCCCCTACAAAACCTATATCATTCCAATGAATTTCGGCTCCGATGTTGACGAGAATAAAACAGCGGACAATGTAAGGATATACTCCAAAAGCCTGGAATTTTAAGATAAGTACTTTTCTTTCATCTAAACTAAATCAAATTTCTATAAATAAGTGCCTTTAAATCAATAAATCTTAATTTTTCATCAGTTTAAAGCATTAAAAAATACTTGAAATTGCCATTGCTTGTGGCTTCCTTTGTGTATCAACTCGAAACAGACGCCAGCGTTATCAGTTCACGTCTGTCAACACTTACAAAGCCCTTAAGGAATCTCGAGAGAGGGAAAATTTGGGGATGAGAGGGATAATTTGGGCATCGCGCTATTTCCCTCTCGGATCTTCTGGATTCTCTTTTCTTTCTAGATCGCTTGAATATAGTTTTCGCCTTTAAATAATATTATACCTCACCGATTTTTTCTCATACTGTTCTTTGCTATCTGTTAAATGTCCATATGTAAGGGATGGTTTATTCTTCACCGCCTTAAATAATTTTTTTTAGAACTATGAGCTTATATAAATAACAGTGTGCCTCATTGTGTTATATTAACATTATTTAACTAGTAATAAATTATGATAGTAAATAATTAATCTTGTAATAAATTATGATAGTTAAATTAATAAATACTGTTTAATTTGTGTTTTTAATACATATACTCAGTTATTTACACACATAAATATATATATATATATTTTTATTTTATTTATTTATTTTTTTTTTTTGGGTGTATGCGGTTGTGGTCTTGTATTGTATATGGTTCTATGTTGTTAGTCTGCTGCTGCTTTTTGAAAAATGTATGAAAATGTTGAGAATGAAAGTAGCATAAGTTACTTTGGTTAAATTAATATATACTTTTGTTTGACGACCTTTGTTGATATCTCAGGATGCAAGCATACATATTACTTTATATTCCATGCTAAATACCTTGATACGAAGCATTTTAACACCGTCAATATTTGTTTTTTCCCCAGTAACACACATCTATTCACCATTACCAAACACACTCACTACACAAACACACCTGTGAGACACTATTTATTGTAAATGAAGACAGTTTCTTCTCCTTTTAACTACACTCATGGACACAATCGTATTTTAGGATATTTTCTACTTCTTTTCGTTTTCTTTCTATAGGCCCTTTTTTTTTTTTTTTTTTTTTTTTCTTTTTCCCTCTATTATTTTTGGGCCATTTATTTTAAAATTTTATTTTGTCCCATCTTTTCTTCCTGGCCTTTTGAACTCGTACAAGATGTACGAAGTTCCTTTTTACTCTCCTCAAATACGAAATTGCCCCTCTTTCTATTATACCTTTCCTTCGCACCTATGCTTGATTTTTCGCCCATCGGTGCAGAAAGACTTAGCGGGTGCAAAACAAGACATCTGTCTACTTTGTCTGTCTGTCTGTCTGGTCGTACGTTGGCTGGATAAAGAACCGGATTCAAGTATTTTAGCAACGTTTCTTAAAGGCAGGAAATTTGAATGTTGAGTTAGGAAGAAGACTTCTAAATTCCACCTTCTCTACTTACGTCGTGTTTTTCTCATCAACATCGCAACTGAAAAACTTTTGAAAACGTGTAGGTATTGTAGAAAAATCAGTATTTCAAAGTAATTTAATTGATAATCCCCAAGGGGAAAGGAATTTTTTTTACTTTTTTACGGAGCGCTTGGAACGTCCAGCCGCTTGCCTCGGTGATCGCAGCGCCTCCCATCTACTGACAGACAGACAGACAAAGTAGACAGATGTCTTGTGTTGCACCCTCTAAGTCTTTCTGCACCGATGGCCGAAAATCAAGCATAGGTGCGAAGGAAAGGTATATAGAAAGAGGGGCAATTTCGTATTTGAGGAGAGTAAAAAGGAACTTCGTACATCTTGTACGAGTTCAAAAGGCCAGGAAGAAAAGATGGGACAAAATAAAATTTAAAATAAATGGCCCAAAAATAATAGAGGGAAAAAGAAAAAAAAAAAAAAAAAAGGGCCTATAGAAAGAAAAGGAAAAGAAGTAGAAAATATCCTAAAATACGATTGTGTCCAGGAGTGTAGTTAAAAGGAGAAGAAACTGTCTTCATTTACAATAAATAGTGTCTCACAGGTGTGTTTGTGTAGTGAGTGTGTTTGCTAATGGTGAATAGATGTGTTACTGGGAAAAAAAACAAATATTGACGGTGTTAAAATGCTTCGTATCAAGGTATTTAGCATGGAATATAAAGTAATATGTACGCTTGCATCCTGAGATATCAACAAAGGTCATCAAACAAAAGTATATATTAATTTAACCAAAGTAACTTATGCTACTTTCATTCTCAACATTTTCATACATTTTTCAAAAAGCAGCAGCAGGTAAACAACATAGAACCATATACAATACAAGACCACAACCGCATACACCCAAATAAATAAATAAATAAATAAAATAATATATATATATATATATATAATTCTACTTTAATTAAACTTAGGAGATAATATAATCAATTAATCAATACTGTTTAGGAAATAAATTATTATTAACTAACTTTGCAGCAATTGCGCAAGTAATAATAACTTGTATTCGCACTAAATGGATTTAAGTTCATACAACATTATATATATATATATATATATATATATTTATGTGTGTAAATTACTGAGTATATGTATTAAAAACACAAATTAAACAGTATTTATTAATTTAACACTATCATAATTTATTACTAGTTAAATAATGTTAATATAACACAATGAGACACACTGTTATTTATATAAGCTCATAGTTCTAAAAATTCATTTAAGGCGGTGAAGAATAAACCATCCCTTACATATGGACATTTAACAGATAGCAAAGAACAGTATGAGAAAAAATCGGTGAGGTATAATATTATTTAAAGGCGAAACTATATTCAAGCGATCTAGAAAGAAAAGAGAATCCAGAAGATCCGAGAGGGAAATAGCGCGATGCCCAAATTATCCCTCTCATCCCCAAATTTTCCCTGTCTCGAGATTCCTTAAGGGCTTTGTAAGTGTTGACAGACGTGAACTGATAACGCTGGCGTCTGTTTCGAGTTGATACACAAAGGAAGCCACAAGCAATGGCAATTTCAAGTATTTTTTAATGCTTTAAACTGATGAAAAATTAAGATTTATTGATTTAAAGGCACTTATTTATAGAAATTTGATTTAGTTTAGATGAAAGAAAAGTACTTATCTTAAAATTCCAGGCTTTTGGAGTATATCCTTACATTGTCCGCTGTTTTATTCTCGTCAACATCGGAGCCGAAATTCATTGGAATGATATAGGTTTTGTAGGGGAAAAATAAACATTTTTCAAAGAAATTTAATTGATAATCACCAAGAGGAAAGGAAAAATTTTCACTTTTTTACGGAGCGCAGCGATCGTGCTGCCGCTTCTGACCACAGTACCGAATCTTCGCCACACACACGAATTTCAAACAAACATTCCTGCCATCAACTATATTTATGGTTAAAGATAATAATAGATACAGTTACAGTTACATATATAACAGACAGTAAATGTACACCATTTTGTCCATTCATCAACTTATTTCTACCTAATTAACCTCTCAAAAATTTTAAACACTACCAAACAAGTTTATTCTACTAACTTAATAACGTTTTACAGCTGTTGCCACTCAAGCAAAACTAAAAAGGAAATTAATATTACACTGGTTAAATGTATATGGACTATGCTAGACTTAACATACTCCCACCTTTTGATAAAAGGATTTTTATAAAAACAAATGTTTAATTAAACCAAAATTTAATATAAAAGTCCATTTTAAACCTCACTTAAAAGTCTATTTTAAAGGTTACTTAAAAGTCCATTTTAAAGTTCACTTAAAAGTCTATTTTAAATTTCAAAGTCCATGAATTTAGAAGTCACTTTCATAGCTCGACCACTTCATAATCTAATCTACAGCACTCATCCAAATAGTCATCAAACGTTTTGCCATCTAGGATCACAAACTGGTTTAGGTTTAGAAATTACTTTATGAAATAAGGATTTATTTCTAACCTTTATCCTTCCTGTGTGAGTTGACTCAATCATTTCTTTCCTAAACTGTGATTTAGAATAAATTTTAGAATTTGTAATCTCAACACCGGATGTTTCAGAAGCACTTTCTTCGAGCTGTTCTTCCCCACACACATCACTTTTACTTGGTCCAATCCAATGGTCCCAATCTGCATTATCGAGTTCCTCATCAAATGGAAATTTTGGACATTCTTCTTCTTGAATAGCACAATAATCATCATCAAAAAGCACTTTCGTTTTCTGGTCAAGTTTTTCAGGTTTAAAATCGTTTTCAATATCATCTTCGTTAAGGTTCAATTCATTTTGACCAAGCTCTTCTTTCAACTTTAAAAAATTTTCTTCAAGTTCTCTTCTCTCTAAATCTTTCACACGTTTTAGATCTTCTCTTTTCTGCTCTTTCCTCCTTTTTATTCTTCCAAAGTATTCTTCACGCTTCTTCTTTCTTTTATTATCAACACGTCTGAGAAAATCTTCAATGATCTTTGGATATAGTTTAATGAATTTTGAATCCGGCTCTTCAAATCGGAAAATGTACTTACTTTAAAACAATTCTTGCCTTTTCATATCTTTTTCATCATCACTTGACACTGCAATATCTGTTTCTTCGTAAGTCGGAATCTAACCACTTTTATATTTTCCTTTACACATCTTATCTAAAATAAAATCTCTTAAATTTTTTTTATTCTCCTATACTTAACACTGCGCTTCGGTTCCTGCTTGAAAAAGTTGGAGAACTTGCAGCGCCTCCTGTATGTTCTAACCACAGCGAGTTAAACATTGGCGAATGAATGTTGCATTCAAAATGATAATGTATTTTGTTCGTTTTCTGTGCTAATTGTGAACTATATGGCAGATAAATGTATAAATTAATTTATTGTTTTCATACTATTTGTTTGGACGCAGAGTTATGATCAGCTGTAGAAACGATATTATAAGGAATACGAATTTACAATTACGGAATGCATATATACGTAATTTTTTTATAAGCAATATCTTCTTGTATATAAATTTTCTTGCCGTCATTCATGGTATGAAATAATATATTCTGTAAGTTTTAAACTCTTCTAAAATGACTGTATCATATATTCAGTTTTGCAATTCGTAACGCTACATATTTACCGGTTGTTTTTGTTTTGGTTTAAGAGACCATATTTGATGAGCATATTTGATTTCATTCTGTGAATATATTTTAGTTTAAAATAATTTTTATTTGTGTTATCAGAATAATGGAACAAGCAGCAAATTTCCTTTTTGTTCATTTATTTTGTGAATAGTTAAAAGTTCAAACTAGAGATATTTATGCGAGTATTGAATAACTGGAACAGGCACTTACTTTAATGCTATGAAAGCTGTTTGAAATTTTACCTGTTGATTTTTGTATGAAGCGGGTAGTATTTATTACTGATTGTACTTCAGGGGGACAAAAATACGAGTTCCCCCCTTTTTTAAAAATTTATTTATTTTTTAAAGTAGCATTTCGAAAATGATTGAAAATAATGAATAATTATTAATACTTATTGAATGTAAAAATATTTGCTTTTTTTAACCTTTATTCATGTCAGAAAAATTTTTGTTCAATCTAGAATTTTAGCTTCAAAGTTTAATTTCTGTATTTAAAGTAATATATTTTTGCCAGGAATTGTTTGTGCACAATTTCTTTTTTGCATTTGGTTTGATTCTGAGATGAGTATATTAAAAAAAAAAAAAAAAAAAAAAATATAAAGATGTGTATTATTTAAGATACTAACATACCAGGTAATGTGCATATATTTGCAGGCCTGAAAATGATGAAGGGGAAACATGCTTATATGGTAACAGCAAATAGATATAGTTGAGCAAGTTTCAGATGGTGATTTTTTTCCTCTATCAGTTTACAACATGTTTATTGTAAATTAAGATATGAAATTACATAATGGAAAAATGGCCTAGGACAAGAATTTTATTGCATCAATGACTGCTCCATTTTATTTACTATTATATTTTATTAATTCTATAAAAGACCAATGAATCTATAAAATAAAAAAGCTAAGAATTACCTAATTTTGTAATTTAAAAAAATCAGGGATAAATTAGGCATTTTGTGCTAGCCATTACCATAATTATCCAACAACAGTTGTTACACTAGTCTCTTTAGTGTATTTGAAATAAATTGCAATTTTTCATGGATGTATATTCTTTTATCCAGGGCTTAATTTCTAAAATTAGAAGTGCCGGAGCCTTATGGAAGGTTGTGAAGTAGGAAAGAAAAAAAAGTAACAAATAAAATAGCTAAATTAAGATAATCAAATAATAAATTTAAACTAAGATTAATATTAATTTAATTTAACAATTAATTAATTAAAATTAAGAAAAAGGTAAAGAGATGAACAAAAATCTAATAAATTATTAAATTAATTTTAAATAGTTAAATAGAAAAAAAAAAAAATTGGACCTTGTCATATTTGGCGCATCGGCTGGAATTACAATTCCACATAGATGCTAAGAAGCAGCTAAACTGATCTCCATCCGAGTTTATAAGCCCTGATTAGAGGTTTAGCTAACTATTTCAAGGGATGACAGGTGCCACTTTTTTTTTTTTGCAGCACCAAGGAAAAAAGGTAAAATGATTAAAGCTCCCGTAAGGAGAATAGGGAGAATTCTAGAAACAGTATCGGAATGTGGAAAGAAATTTAATGGAAAAGTGTAGCTTTGAAAATAAAGAGGGAAGAGTTGAAGACTTTCTGATCGCGATGCCCTGTTAATATAATTCTAGCTGTCAAGTAGAAATTTTCCCTGAATCCGTTTCCTGAATAAATTTTCATGAATACAACGTGAGAATAAACGTAAGAGTTCACTGTACAAGTGATAGCAGTCTCAACCTCTGTGCAAGGTTTGATTGCGAGTGAGAGACAGGCCTGCATTCAGAAGTTAGAATTGATTTTCAAGGTATGTTTACTAATAAAACAAAATTTATGTCTTAAAACTGATTTTCACTTACATGAAAGAAGTGCTGGAGCCCTTTTATTTAAGGCTCCGGTGTGCTCCGTCTGAAATTAATTTATATCGAAACTGAGAAGTATCAGAGCTTTGCTCCAGTGGGCTCCGGCGCAATTTAAGCTCTGGTTTTGTCCTATAGTAAATGAATATCGCTAGTGTAAAAAATATAAAACAATTTTTAGATCAATTTGCAACCCACGTTCTAATACTTAGCTTGTAATTTTTCATATTACATTCTTTTAAAAGTCTATTGTTTAAGAAGTACAACTACATGAAGTGTAAATTTTTGCACTCTCTACTGTTGGGCAGAAGGCCATATTTCTGAAGAAATGCAGTATTTTCTTTTCCGTCAACTGGCAGACATCACAACCCCAATACGATTCATTACAAGGAAAAAAAAAAGTTTACTTAGTGTAAAAACAAACACTAATTAGGAAATTGACCATTCAATTTGGATGGTAGAATTCGGTGTGTACTGAAACAAGTGTCTGCAGTGTGAATACTTGAATTGTCACATAAATACATTTTGGCAACATCGTGGGTTGCATATAACTATTTTGGCAACATAGTGTTATTGATTTGTGAATGCATTTGCTCAGTGGATTATGTGAAAAATCAGAAAGAACGACTAATTGCACTTATTTTTTTTTTTTTGTTGGAAATTAAAATAAAGGCTAAATTTTAAATAAAAATATCAGTATTAGAAATATATCAAAATAGAGAAAGAACAGAGTGCTGATTCATAAATTAACAACAGATGGCTGGATGGAATGATTGTTGCATGTTCATGATTTAGAAAATGTATTTTTGTGTTGGAATACGTGATATGGAACAAAATCTTGGAGCAGGAATTTGTTTTATATAAATTGAAAATAGTATGAAAAGTATTCTTTATGCATAAATATATCATCTGAGCTTTTTTCATGTGATCAACTTTCTGTGTAGAACATTCGTAATTGTGAAGTTTCATCAGTTCATTTTTTTTCCTGGTCACCAGTTTTGAATTATTGGTTAGAGTAGTTGCAGGGTGCCCCTTGTATGATCACGAAGTTGTTGTTTCATTTATCGCCACGTTGTTGTTTCATTTAGGGCAACCTGAATAATTGAATGTTGGGGAAATCCTAATATGACATAATTGTTTGCACGATTGTGGTAGATTTTGAATTATGGGAAAAGATTTATTATAAGGGCTTGTGGCGCGTGTTGGTTATGAAGTACATTGCTGTTTTAGTGGTTTAGATGATAAAATGGCTGAATGTGGTAAGATTACTTTGAAGTTTCTGTACGATTTGGAAAGAAAGGGGAAAAGAGCATGTAAATTAAGATTTACTTAGTAGCCATTATTAGGTGTCCTGTTTGTAGGAAGGAAATGCGTATGGTTGAACATCGCTACATAGGATATTTTTAACTCGTATTTTTGAATTTATGTGGCGACGCCAGTATACAGATTCTAGTTCAGATAATTTTAGGTTTAGAGTTGACTTAAAGGGAACCCCTTGTATTATTGTGAAGTTGTTTCATTTATCACCAAGTTGTTGTTTAATTTATTGCCAAGTTGCTGTTTCATTTATGGTAACCTGAGTAGTTGAATGTTATGGAAACCCTATTATGACATGATCATTTGCATTATTCTGAGAAATTTTGAATCGTGGCATGCTTTGTAAGGGCTTTTGTGGTATGTGTGCTTAGGAAATACATTGCTTGTTTCATTATTTAGACGGTAGAATGGCTGAATGTAGTAAGATTAATTTGAAGTTTCTGTACGATTTAGAACGAAAGAGGAAACGTGCATTAATTGACTGGTGTCTAAATGAAGGTTTACTTAGTAGCCATTTTCGGGACAGTCCAGAATACGTGAGATATTTTTTACTCTTATTTTTGTGAATTTATGTGGTGACACTGATATACGGATTCTAGTTCAGATAATTTTAGGAAGTTTTTGGATGCTGTTAAGGAATTTTGTGTGCCCCAGAGGTAAGTGGATATTTGTTTTGTGTAATGCTTAAATGCATAACAGGTTTTTTCCTTTTTTATGTTATTTTACTGTTTGGCTTAAAATGTAGTTTATCGAGATTATGTATTTTTTTGTTTGCCTATAGTGTACCCTTGGATGCTCCCTTGACTTTTTAAGTGAAAATATATTGATGTGTACATGGACAAACTCAAGGGAGTGCACAAAGCCTAGTTTGTGCAACTCTCTGATGTTTTTTTTAAGTGAAAATAGGTCGATGTATACATGGATAAAGTTAATGGAGTGCACAATGCCATTTTTGTGCAAATCTGTGATTTTTTTAAGTGAAAATATGTCAATGTGCATAGATACCGAGTTTGTGCAATTCTTTCTCTTATTATTTTGGCTTTGTGCCAAAAATCAGCACTACGCAAGCCAAAATAACAAGTCAAAGACTTGCACAAATTCGGTATCCATGTAGTGCCAAAAATCACCAAGTTTCTCCAAAGGGTACCTTAAAATATACGTTTACCAAGACATCTTTGTTGTACAGTGTACCGTAAAGGTGATATGCATGCAAAAAAAAGTCAGTAATACTTTTAAGGGTTAGAGTAGACGGTTGATCTTTACAATATGGTAACTGGTAGTTGAATGTTATGGAATCCCTATTGTGACATAATCGGGTGCATGATTCTGGGAAATTTTGAATCATTGGATGTTTTGTAAACGCTTTTGTGATGTGTGTTCGCTTTATTGTTTAGCCGGTAGAATGGCTGAATGTAGTAAGATTAATTTTAAGTTTCTGTATGATTTGGAACGAAAGGGAAAAAGAGCATTAATTGACTGGTGTGTAAATGAAGGTAAGTGTCCTGTATATAGGAAGGTTATGTGTCTAGTCGAATGTAAAAACCGCTTAGATGGATTTGAATGGTTTTGTAGGAAGAAAGGTTCAGATGTGGCGACGCCGATATATGGATTCGAGTTCAGATAATTTTTGAAAGTTTTTGGATGCTGTTAAGGAATTTTGTGTGCCACAGACTAAAGACGAAAGAACTTCTAAATATGGTAAGTGGATATTTGCTTTTGGTAGTGCTTAAATGCATAACATGTTTTTCCTTTTTTATGTTATTTTATTGTTTGGTTTAAAATGCAGTTTATTGAGATTATGTAGTTTTTTTGTTTGCCTGTATTGTAGAATTGGTGCTCCTTTGACCTTTTTAAGTGAAAATATATCAGTGTGTACATGGACAAAGTGAAGGGAGTGCACAATGCAAGTTTCTGCAATTCTTGGATTTTTTTAAGCAAAAATAGGTCGACGTGTACATGGATAAAGTCAAGGGAGTGCACAATGCACGAAATTTTGTGCAATTGCCATTTTTGTGTGTGTGGATACTAAGTTTGTGCAATTCTTTGTCTTGTTATTTTGGTTTTGTGTAGTGGCCACAAGCCAAAATAACAAGTCAAAGATTTGCACAAACTCTGTATCCATGTGCCTCCAAAAATCACCAATTTTCGTCAAGGGGTACCAGAGACTATATTTTTTAACCGGAATTTTGTTTGACTGAAGACACGTTATTTCGCAAATAAGGTAAGTGGATATTTCCTTTGTGTAGTCCAAAAATGAATTTCCTTTATGTAACTTCATTGTTTAATTTAAAATGTAGTTTATTGAGATTATATATTTTTTGTTGGCTCCTCCTTTGACTTTTTAAGTGAATATAGGTCAATGTGTACATGGACGAAGTCAAGGGAGTGTGCAATGCCTAGTTTGTACAATTTTCTGATTTTTTTATAAGTGAAAATAGGTCGATGCTTACATGGATACCGAGTTTGTGCAATTCTTTGTCTTGTTATTTTGTCTTTGTGTAGCAGCAATTTTTACACCAAAAATCACCACTACGCAAGCCATAATAACAAGTCAAAGAATTGCACAAACTTGATATCCATGTACCACCGAAAATTGCTAATTTTCGCCAAGGGGGCACCTGTAAATATATTTTTACCGAATTATTTTATTTATCACCTCTGTAGTTATCTTGTAAACATATAATTATGTACAATTACCAAGCATAAAGTATGCATGATAAGAACAGGAATAACATTTTGCATTATGGAAATAAGTCTTTTTTTTTTTTTTTTGCACACACTAGTGGTTTTTATAGAAGATAAAGCATATTTACGGAACCCGGTGACAAAAATTGGTGATTTTTGGCGGCACATGGATACCAAGTTTGTGCAATTCTTTGACTTGTTATTTTGGCTTTAAATTCATAACATGTTTGCCTTTTTTATGTTATTTTATTGTTTGGTTATTTTATTGTTAAGTTTATTGACATTATGTAGTTTTTTTGTTTGCCTGTATTGTAGAATTGGTGCTCCTTTGACTTTTTAGCGAGTGGCGATTTTAACCCTAAAAATTGCCACCACACAAAAAGAAAATAAGTCAAAGAATTACACAAACTCGGTATCCTAATTATTGACCTATTTTCACTTTAAAAAAAAAATCACAGAATTTCTCAAATTAGGCATTGCGCACTCCCTTGACTTATAAAGTACACATTGATATATTTTCACTGAAAAAGGTCAAAGGAGCATCCAATTCTAGGTAAAAGTATATTTACTGAACATTCAACTACTCATGTTACCATAACTGAAACAACTTTGATAATACAAGGGGTATCCTTCAGTCTCCTCTAACCAGATACTGTTTATTTTCATACTTTATTAAAACAGTTGTAAAATATCATAATAATAATTAAATAATGTAACATTTGATTTTTGTATTATTTATTTTTATAATTATTATTTATATGTGGATATAGATTTTGTATGATGCTCATTGTCGAGAATATGTTAACAAATAATACCACTGTAGATCATAATGTATTATAGCATATGAATATTTGGTTCCGTTTCGTCGGCGCAAATCTCGCCAAGCAGACTTTATTGGCGACAACATACAGTATACACATAAAAAATATTAAAAAAACGTTAGTTCTAAGAATTCTTTTTTTGAAGGCATAAACATTTTAATATCGCTTAAAATTTTATAAAAAGCCAATAAATTTGTAAAAAGACATTAATTTAAGAATTTACTATGCTTTCATGGTTCAACATCCTGATTCGCCGGTTCATATCACGTGACCCCAAGCGATCTCATTTCACGTAAACTACTCTACAAAAATCTAATGCTCTCAGTACTTATCTACATTAATTTCAAGTTACATCTTAATTTGGATCACAAGTTTAAATGCAAGAAATATTTCAATTCGTACGAATAGCTTACTCAGAAATTATGTAAAACTGCAGTGCTTTACTTCGCTAATGCATTCTCGTTAGAATGGATGAATTTAACCCTTGACTTTACCTTTTCTATATTTTCGGCTTCGGGTTAAGCGCTGTGATTGCATCCTAATTAACTTAATTACCGAAAATGGCCTTAGACATAAAACTGAACTATCTGATAAAAATTCTATGTAATTGTATGCCAGTATTGAAAGAAACAATCAATCTGATAAGAAAAAGCTGCGACTTGTTTGAAAATGAGGCTTAAAAGGTTACCAGCGAGAATATTCTGTTTGGCATCGGTTGTACTATTATTGGCGACTTTATCGCTTGCGCCGGCAAAACGGAAAAGTACCGAATATTTTAATTTGAATAAGTCAAAATGTGTATCTTTTGATCGTTCTTTTTAATATCGTAGGTTTTGAAGATGTTAAAGGTATAAAAGAAGATATTTATTTTGAGATTGTGGAACCTGAAACATTGCATTATACTTTTAAAGTGAGACCTGCTCAAGATTTTGGTGTCCCATTTGTGAGTACTTGCTAGACAAAGATTTATCTTTTAAAAATAATAATAACCTCCGAATTATGCCTGGTTTTACTCTGATAAAGTTTATGTTATGTGTGCGAGTTCTTTCTAAATGCAGTTGACCTATTTGTGTTTGTTTTAAATTGATTTATTTATTTTACAAATTATAATCATTACATTAGCAGAATAGTATTGTAGCTAAAACAATAATCTATGTTGTTGTTTCACACTTATCTAATTATCTAAAATTAATACTAGTCTAAGGCTGAACTTCACCTATTTAAAAAATGTTTCGTCAAATTAGGAGTGTTTCCAAATGAATATTAGGAATATCTGTACTAATATATTGTGTTTGTTAAATAATTGCATTGCTTAATGATGAATAATTTATTATTTTTGCAGATTAAGCTTGATTGATATGATCAAGCATTAGACTAAAATACATATGCCTATTCATAATCATATAAATGAGTCTTGCATTTCTTGTAGTGCCATTGATATCATGGCAAATGGCAAATAATTTAACATACAGTGCAAAGATACAGTTATCTTAATTATCTTAAATACAGTGCAAAGTCCCAAAATCCGGACTCCCAATGTGCAGAATGATCTAATATCTGGATCACTAGACCACCAAACAACCAATAACTAAGTAAATGGATAAAATAATAAAATAAATTCCCAGCTTCTCTAATAAAATCTAGGAAGGGAGAATATAATACTCAACAAAAGCAGGTGTGTAATAAATGTGATTTTTCTTCCCCAACAATATATTCCTGCATGCCACTTTCAAATACTTGCTGGTTAGACAGTTACACTGTGACCAATAACCGTACATTGATTGAACTTGTATTTGTGTTGGCCAGGATCACACTTTTGACTCTTGAGAGGTTGTGGTGGGGAGATGGCACGTTTTGGCACTCAGTGCAATCTTTGCAGGTCCTGAATTCTAAAAAGGTAAAAATATATTTCAGGGTTCCCCTTTGCCAAAATTGGTGATTTTTTGGCATCATTCCTGTTTCTGTCCAACGCCCTCTCTAGTAAAAGGGCATCCAAAACATAATGCAGTGAAACATAATTAAAACAAAAATATATTATCTGAATAAACTGCATTTTAAATCAAACAAGGAAATAACATAAGAATGGAAATGCATGTTATCTAATCTATGCAGTAAAAAAAGGAAATATAGACTTAACCTTATTTAAAAATTTCTGTTTCTTTGGTACGTGTGACGCACAGAGCTCCTTAACAGCATCCAAAAACTGCCTCAAGTTATCTGAACGATGTGTATACCGCTGTCACCACATAAATTCACAAAAATAAGAATCGAATTTAATTCAGACTTGATCATCTTAGAATAAAATAAAAACATCTGCCCTGAAGATAAGGATAGTGCTGACAGATCAACTTCCAGTTCATTGCGCACCGCAACGTTTCTCCCCCCTTCGCAGAGCAGCGTGAAATTGATAAACAGATTTCGGAATGGTTAGAGAAACAAAGGATATGCCTTTAGCCATATTTTGCAGCAATTCCACTTTTTGTTTGATGGACATCGAAACATGCTTTCGCTTTGTAGATCCTTTGCCAGCTCGAGAATCGGAAATTCTTTTTGACATAATCAAAAAGTTCAACCTTACTTTTATGAAATTGTTCTAACAGTCTGCAAAAAATAATAAGCCAGATCCAATTAGAAGATTAAGGAACAACGCAATTTGTAATTAGATAATTTTAGCTTAGCTTATACCGTCCGTTATAAATTAAAAGCGCATACGTAAAGGTATTATGCATTTACGCATGCGCAGAAAGTTTGTAGCTTTGAGGTCCGGATTAAAGACTTTTGACTGTATATAATACATTTTTATTGATTTTTTTTGATAAAGTTGTTCTGCAGAGCAAAATTCTGCGCGGAATTTTTTGCTTTTTGAGTTTCTTTCATGTTTTTTTTTTGCTTACTTCACTGTTTGTAAGATATTGAAAAGTTTTGCATGATTTTTTTTCCTTCAACGGAAAGTTGGTTAATTTTTTTATTAGGATAATTAATATTTGTATTAAGGGATATAGCTTATTTCATTGTAATTTTTTTCTCTTGAAAATATAAGATAAAATATTAATTATACTTTGCTTTTCAGAATTTTTTGTTTTTTTGTATTCTTTTATGTTATTTATTGCTCATTTCACTGTTTTTAAGATATTGCAAAGTTTTGAGTAATTTTTTTAGGAAACAAAGTTCTTAAACCTTCTTTATACCATTTTAGTTCGTAAAATTTTGCAAAGGAAAGTTGGTTAATTTATTTATTAGGATAATTAATATTTTTATTAAGAGATATTGCTTATTTCATTGTAATTTTGTTATACGTAATAACTTTTTTTTTATGAAGTTGTTCTGCAGAGTAAAATTCTACGCAGTTTTTAAATTTGACGTTTGGTGTTCCCTTCAGCCATTTTCTCGGTATATTTAAAAGGCAGACGAAGGCTGGCAGCGAAGCTGCTAGTAATTCAATATAAAGAATTTTTATTATTCCCTGCTTTGCAATATATGACTGTTTTGATCACTTTGTTCTAAGTAAGGAACAGTCATGAATGTAACTTTCAAAAGTTGATATACTAAGCATTTTAATTTTTACTTATGTATGACACATAAACATAAAAAAGGAAAATTTTGATTGAAAACTTTTGAAAGAATTTTAAAGTTTTGCTACTTGAAGCGACTGATTTATATCTGAGAATTAATGAATATATTTATTGAAATAAAGAAGCATTTCAGTTAATACAAATATTGAAAATAATTTTAAAATAATTCTTTCGAATGTCTGGGAATGATATCAGTTGCTTTTAAAAGTAGCATTCAGTTTGGTAATGGATTGAATGCACACAAAACCGATAATGGCTTCATAAAATTTATTTTCACAGAAAAAATACTTTACAGTTTTAGAACATCCCATAAGGTACTGGTACAGCTCTTCTCAGTATGACAACACAGTCAGTAGTCACCACTTTAAACTACTAAGAACATTAAACACAATACAATGCAAAGAGCGAAGCTCACATGATCTCACAAAAGTGCAGTTAGCTCTGAGCTAGAAACTGGGAGCTTATGCTCTCTCTGGGCTTGTATAGCTTTCCCTCGCCACCAAAAAGTCACTTGTATCTTCCATTTCCTGGAAGGTATATATGGTTAAAATTACATACAAGAGCCAGATGCGTTTACAGTTACATATATGGATTAATTACAGTACTAATTAGTTATGCAGGGACTGAGCCGAAATGACACCAAATGGTTGTCAAGTCTGGTGACACAAGTTAGTCACCAAAAAACCTTTGCCAACTTGCCAATATCACACCAATTTAAAGACTTAGCTGTTTACCTCAATATGAAATTGATTTGGCCCTGTAATCTTATTTTTCTGGTGAAGCTCTGCTATCTTCAGGCATTTTATATAACATTATGGAAGAGATAATGTCCATTCACCCCATCTCGATGAGTGTATCATATATACATCAGTACTTAATCTTACAACATGTAACTCTGTCTGACGACATGTCACTTAGCGAAACTCGCCTTGGAGATGGTGTTGTTGCAGTAGTATGATCTCGCAAGATAGGTATTTCACGCCGCTAAGCCTAACTTTTTTTAAAAAAATTCATTTAAAATATTTTTCATTGTTTTAATTTTTTCTGTAATTATGTTTAAAATTAATATAATCATAAATATAGAATATCAAGAGATTCTGAAAAATTTTAATTAAAATAAATGTAAAATAAAATATTTGACTTGTTTTGCTGAAATATTGTAACTTACTTAAATTTATATCTAAACATACATAATAAAATATATGATTAAATATTATATAATTATTCCCAGCAGAATACTTAATTGCTGGAATCTCGCCATTTTAGGTACATCTACAGGGGTATGTTGATTTTGAATGAAGGGGAATTTTCACTCATCTTTGGTTCATAGACATTACTAGTTTCTTCAACTATTATATTCATTAGATTATCGAAAAAAATTGTGGAATTTTCTCAGATATAAGTCAATTTTATTGGCAAACTTTAAATTAAATTTACTTCTGCAATTCCCGTAAATTCATAAGGTTTCAATTACTTAGTAGATTGAATTCGTGATGGAGTAACCACTGTTGTGCTAAATTGTGAGGTGAGAGCAAAGCAAAACTTCCAGTTCAGTCTCTGACAAACTTTTGGTATCAAAATCCCTATTTTCACTTAAATCTAGTGTCTCCAGTGTCAAAATAGTCATTCATGGGCTTTATAATTCGAATATACTCGTCTTCTGTTAAGAAAACTTTTTTCTCTAAGATATCGCACTATTAGTTTAACTCTCTTAACCAGTGCAAAAAATCTTACATCTGCTATCTAAAGAAGATGCAAACTGAATGCAAACTGGAGTTCCTAAAACCACAGCTCCACTCCTAAATTTCCTGTTTAAAAAAACAAAATTAAAGCATTTGAAACTGTTCAATGCTTATATCATCACGTGAAGCCTCAACCGTGTGTCAGTTGGGTTTTGTTTACTTTATACCATCTGGTTGTACATTTAAACAAATCACCAGAATCAGAAAGTACTTCATGGGCACAAGGTCAGCAATGTATATGTTCAAATAAGCTAACTGTAATGGATTCTGATTGCCATCTAGTGATTTAAAAAATTTCTGAAAGAACGTGCATATTTGAAAGTGCATATATGACGCATGTCTGGAAAATCAATGCAAGCAGTGATGCACCAGTGCATCACCTGGTTGCTAGTGACGTTTGGGACTGATGCATATATGACGCACCCATCTGCAGAGGATTTTCAATTTAGCAACATGCTGTCGCAAGGGGGTTAATAATAAAATTAGTTTCGTGTGTTAAAATAATTGCCTTTAAAAATAGCTTCACATTTGTGCAAAATTATGGAACAATGTAGATCTTAGCATTTCTTTCAAGAAAGAAGACATCCTTTCACAACAGTCGCGGTCTTAGCATCCCATCCAAGGAAAAA